TAATGTAGTTAGTTTAATAAAACCGTACATTACGTTTGTCTGTCTGTCATTATTAAAGGAGATATCATAAAAGTTTGGTTATACATATTTATACAATGATTTGTCTAAGAAAACAGAAGCCTAAGAAAGTTGAGGAAAAAAGAGGGAACACCCTTCTGAACTATTGCAGTAATGCCAGGTAATTGCAAAGCTCAAGGCCACAGAGCAGTTTGAACGACTTAAAAAGGATACCATCCCACATATAACTTGGATCAGCAAAACCTTGATGCAAGGAAAACTCAAACTGTGGTGATTCCAGTTTGGCATGCTCCCAAAAGTCATGTGGCCTTTAACTGGAAAGCTGGAATGAATGAGTACTGACGGACTGTATGGAAGCAGCAAATTGGAATTACCTGTTGCAAGTATTGTGTAAGAATTTAAACGCATGTACATTTACACTATTTCATCAGAACCATTTCATTCCTTTTACTGGTGTATAGATAGTAATGTGACTAAGGCCCAATCCCATTTCACCCCTTGGCCCTTCCCCTTTGTATTTCATGTGTTCAAAACCTATTGGGATGAAGGGGTAGGGCCAAGTGTTAGGGCTTCATAGCCCTCAAAACAAAGATTATTCTGACCCTCACTTCAACTAGCAGCCTGAAGCTGTGTGCTTTTAATTCAGTTGGATGAATACCTATTTATGAATCATATACATGACCGATTTCAGTCTAGTTTTTAGAAAGAGTCAGCACCGAAACAGCACTGGGGAGAATAATAAATAACCTTCAAGTGAGCGCAGATAAGAAAAATACATCTATCCTGATGCTCCTCAACTTATCTGCTGCATTTGACACCGTAGATCACAAGATCCCACAGGCTTGAAACTTGGATTGGTATTACAGGCATAGCACTAAACTGGTTCAAAACATACCTTACTGGCAAGACATATTTTGTCTCACAAAAGCATGATAGCCTTTTCGGCATTCCACAGTGTTCCATTCTTGGTCTACTACTATTTTTTCTACATATGTTACTACTTGGAAAAATTATTAGTGACCTTGGTGTCAGCTATCATTGTTATGCTGATGATACTCAATTGTATCTATCCTTAGTGCAAGATGACTCCAAATCAAATTATAAATTGCCACACCAACGTGGAACAAAGGGTGAGCAACAATTTTTTTTAAAACAGAAATTCTTGTAATTTGTCAGAGACAAAACATATCAGTAAACTTGGAAGTCTGGTGCATCACAACAAATCAAAAGTAGAGAATCTAGGTGCTACACTTGACTCTAAATTTTAATTCATACCTTTTATCATTTAAGAAACCTTGCAAGAGTAAGACCATACCTCACTCTGGAAGATGCCAAAAAGGTGGCTCATGTTTTTATACTTTCTCGCTTGGACTACTGTAATGCAATATATTCAGGATTACCAAAAAAATCGATTGATCGACCACAAAATTCAACAGACAGGTTTTTAACGAGAAATAGGAAAAAAGATCACATAACTCCGGGTTTAGCATCCTTACACTGGCGTTCAGTATCACTGAGGATTGATTTTAAAATTATTTTTACTTGTTTTTAAGTCTCTTAATGGTACAGCACCCTCATACATCTCTGTCTATCGGAATACGTTTCAAACCGCTCCCTTAAGTCGTCTACCGCAGGCTTGCTCAATATCCCAAAAGCAAACTACAAAAAGTTTGGGGACACAGCTTTCTCTTGTTATGCACCAAAGGTTTGGAACAAGCTCCCACCACACATCAGATAAGCTTCTTCTGTTGATAGTGTAATGGAAAATTTGCATATGATCTTAGCTTGAACTCTTTCCTATGTCTGATCAATGCTCATGTGCTGTGTTCAACAATAACTCCTCATATAAAAATACAGTTGTGCTCGCATTAGAGTCTGGCATACGTGCAGACAGACAATTCTAAACTAGATAGATACCTTTTCTTTTTACCTTTAACTAACAAATGCCCTGAGTGTTGCTATGCACTTGGCAGATGTAACCACAGAGTTTATGTCCATACTTGATGATGATCCTCTTGTTGACCATGATCTGTGTAGCTAGCAAACTTCCTCTTTCTTGCAGAAGCAAGAGCAGACAGTTTTCTGTGTCAACCATACTACAGGTGGCTTCCGCATTCATGCTCTTATTCACTAATGGTTGTCTCTTATGTTTCCTGTTTAGCTGACTCTATAAAAACCTTCTCCTTTCACTATTCGAGGTGTTCCACTCTGAGCGTGTGAAACCCTCTGCAGAGCTCTATTAAAGACCTCGAGATAAATTTCCTCCAAAATAGTTTTAAGAAACTCAAGATTTCTACGATCTTCTTTTAATAAACTGTATCTGTTTTATTGCTAACACATCTAAATGTTCTCTTATTTCATGTCTTTGGCTTTATTGATTTTATTGTTAAGCACTTGAGCTGCATTTTATGAATGAAAGGTGCTGTATAATAATACATTTATTATTATTATTACTCCATGCTCAGATACTGTTTTGTGAGACACAGCAAAACATATGGATGTGCCATCCTAGAGGAATGGGACTTACTGTGCGACCCGATTGGGCTACTGGTAACACCTCATGCTACCAGTAATGACAAAGATACAACCAGAACACAAAACTAGAGAATATTTGGTCTGGAAGGATAGGGAGAGAGCAACTGTCTGTGGCCACAACTACATTGCACCTGTTGTAACTTTCATTTGAACCAAAGCAGGTGAAATTGATTTACAATCACTTGTGCTTCCCAAATGGACAGACTGATATCCCTGGCTGAGACCAGGTTATGATGCATGTGCTACTTGTGTGGGCGTGTGCTCTGCTTGCAGTATGCAAGTGGTCACTAAAGTGTGTACATGCAATACCTGAGGTGCAGTCACCACAGGGGGCTTTTTAAACTGTGTAGCTTGCAGGTAGAGCAAAAGCACCCCTTCTGTGGATGAAACTTCCTACAGATTTTTGTACTGTGCCAGAGCCTCCTCAGTGCAGTCTATGTACTACAAATGGTAGTTTGTGCATCCCCTGGTCAGAACGGACCCCCACTGTGACCCTCTCCCTTTTTCCAATCGAGAACAGGCTGCAAGAGAACTAAAACCCACCCCAGCTAATGATGATTCTTTGTTTTAGTAAACTGTTATTATGTTGGCACCAAATAGAACCAGTGATATTTAAAATGAGAGGTTGCACCACAAAATAGAACCAATCCAGAAGGAGATGGGTGACAGGTGGATAAAATATGGTTGTTGTCTGATAGAACCTAATAAACTATGCAATGGATATCAGTAAGCTCTGAAAGAGCAGTACACACTGTTGCAGCAGGACCCAGGCTTTGTTCTAGCATAGCCCAGGGTCAATTTGACCTCTGACATTACCATGGTAACATCCTGTCCTCCACAGCTGACCTCTAATGGGCTGCATCTGTGGGGCATCTCTGACGACCACTGGCTCTTCAAAACACACCTAAAGAACAAAAGAAGAAACACGCATCAGGACTGAAGGATGATATCATTTCTCACTCACACAGACATACACCGTTTTGAAAGAGGTGGTAAAAAATGTATGAGTAGATGATGAAGATCAATTGGATCCCATCAAATGTGTGCATTAGCATTTGAGA